GCTGTGGACCACATCTTCGTTGTTGCAGAATAAATTTTTCAATAAATGAATATATTGTTCAACAATGCGTCGAAACACCATTGCCGGATCAAACATTTCTTCGGTGAAGATCTAATCACCTCAGTAATAGGCTACGCCATCGTAATATAGTTAATGGAAATAAATTCATTATGGACCAACTCATGAACACGGACTTCGAACAATAGAAAGATAATAAAAGAAAAGAGAATGGCGATTATTTTGCGTTTAGTTTTACTTCAATAGCTCAAACAGCAATTCAGAGACCCCGATGTGCAGCATTTGTAATGAAGTTCTCTCTGCCGTATGTATTGAGGCCGAACAAACGACTGAGCTTGGCCGAAAACGACATCCAGTTTAGTTTTGAATTCTGATGAAATTCAGACTTGACTCAGATGGAAAGTCCTATAATTAAAACATATCAGCCTATGGAGCTTCTGATTTTGGTGGCTCACAGACATTGCTCGTTATGATTGGAGCCAAATTTATTAATAAATTTAGTGTAATTTCCATACCTTATGACACTATTCACAAGAGATAACATGTCTTCTGATATTAAGGAAATGATGTCTTCTTCTTTTCCAACATTTAGCATTCAGCTTGATGAATCCACTGGCGTTGCAGATTGATTAGTAGTTGCGGTATACTTGTATGTATACATAATGTCGAGTTTAAGATTAGTTTCTATGCAAACCTCTATAAACGACCTCTAAAGCGAGTGATGTAACTGACAAAGTTGGTTAAATTTGAAAAAGTAAAAGACCTCTTGGAAAAATACTTGTGGTGTCTGCACAGATGGTGTTCTAAGTAAGCTTGGATATAGATTTGGATGTTAATGTTTGGTGCAGAATAAGTAACCATAAGAATACATTGTAAGATTCATCGACATATTTTAGCAACGACAATAGCAATGCATCTAATTATTACTCTTCAATGTTAGTTACACAATTTCGGATCAATTGTTAGCAGTCATTCTGTTCTATATGAGATTTTTTCTAGACTTCCTCCTCCATTTCCTACACTTTATCTTTGTGAAACAAGTTTGTTTTTTTTGCCTGTCAGTTATGAAGTCTACATACAGAAATAAACTAATCCTAATCTAGTGAAATAAAAACAAGCTTAACCTTCGCATTAACTTTGGCGTGATTGAAAATACTGTCTCAACGTTTTCCATGATAGTAATACTTTTTAAATTGTAAAATATGTAAATATTATAAACATGCCATGAAAAGTAAATAAATAAAAATAATAAAATCTGCTTTTAAAAAAAGTAAATCATACTTTTTTTACACTAAATAAATAGGATACGTTTGTAACAATTCAATTAACATCATAGATATTAGTTCTATACATTTTGATAACCATTTTATATCATTCGCTAAATCACATTTACCTAACTTGTCCGCTAACGCGAGACTTTCTTTATCTTCTGTCAGAACGGGTCTCGAATGTTTCCAGGTTGTCTAACATCGTTATGGTTGAACACGAAGATGATTTACTGACGAACACGCTCATTACAGACATAGGCCTACGTGCACATATCCTGTAGTTAGCTTGAATGACCCACAAATAATAGTTGGCTATTGGTCGAAGCTGCCTCCTCCTTTATTACACTGAATTTGACTTGAGTATTTTTACAAAGCTTATATCAACTCACTCTGTCTTTCTGGTAAAAAAGTTTGTACCGGTACACGTTATTTCTCCACACCCAATCTAGGATGAAGCTGAAATTTTGCAAAATTATTTCTTTATCTTGACAACACAAGAATAAATAAAAAATAAAAAAAAAAGAAATTAGTTAACTATTGGTAATTAATTATTTTGTTAAGGTATATCAAACAAAGGAAAGAAATTGTACTTGACTGATGTGGTGGTATAAGGCATAAGCTGAATTAGTCCTGTTTATAGGCATAGCGCCATTAAAAGATGAACATAACATAATACATAATGATAATGAAACTAAAGCAAACATCCTAAAAAAATACTTTGCATAAGCATTCTCAGCCCTAGGAGACAAAGACATATTACTTAATTTGAACCAAGTAGACAACATAGAAGATATAGTAGTACAAGAAAATGGAATCCAAAAACTATTAGCCAACACCAAACCAAATAAAGCATCCTAGAACACATAATATGTAGCAACATCATAAACCACTTAGACAAACATAATGTCCTCACCCCATACCAACATGGCTTAAAGGAAATATAGATCATGTGAAACACAACTAATAGGACTAATTGATGACTTTTCAAAAGGTTTAGATAATAGTGAACAAATAGATGCTATTTTACTAGATTTTTCCAAGGCTTTTGACAAAGTTCACCACCATAGTTTGCTTAAAAAATTAAAATATTTTGGCATTAATGGTCCATTGCATCAGTGGTTTAAAGATTTTCTGATAGGGAGAGAACAAACTGTAATAATAAATGGCTCTAAATCAACACCAATAACAGTAAACTCAGGTGTACCTCAAGGGACTGACTTAGGTCCACTACTATTCTTAATTTACATAAATGATTTACCAAATTGCATTACCTCAGGAACAAAAGTCAGATTATTTGCAGACGATTGCATAATATATAGAACAATAAAAACAACACAAGACACAGATATTTTACAAAGAGAATTAGATGAATTACAGAAATGGGAATCAAATTGGAGCATGTCTTTCCACCCAGAAAAATGTCAGTTGTTAAGAGTAACAAAAAAACTAAAACAAATTAATTCCACTTATCTTATTCATGGCAAACCAATAACACAGACTAAAAATGCAAAATACCTAGGTGTTATAATAAATGAAAAACTGTCATGGAATCCACATATTGATGAAACTATAAAAAAAAATCAAACAAAGCATTAGGATTTATTAAAAGAAATTTCTATAAATCAAATAAGAACATAAAACTAAAATGTTATTTAACCTTGGTTAGGCCAATAATAGAATATGAATCCTCCGTTTGGGACCCCTCAAGATAACATTAAGAAACTGGAACAGACACAAAATAGAGCAGTGAGATTCATAACAAACGAATATTCACACTTAATCAGAGTAACACCTTTAGTAAAATCACTAAATTTAGAAAGCCTTCAGGATAGAAGACTCAAAAGTAAAGTAGCAACTATACATAAACCACTGAACCATAATCTTCAAATACAAAAACAAAATTTTAATAAAATACTCTGAAAGACACAAAGATAAAGGCACATTCCTTGTCCCATATGCTAGGACAAAGTTGTACAAATACTCCTTCTTCCCTAGTGCTATTAGAGCATGGAATCGGTTGCCTGAGCTAGCCAGGAAAACCAGTGACTTGGCCGAATTTAAGTCATTGGTTAATATGCATAACTAAATGCATGACGCGTAGGACGTAATCATCTTCTTTTTTGAAGTAACGTCTGTATTATATTAAGATAAGATAAAAAGAAGATATAGGTCACCGCTTTAAAGTAAGTTTGAAACAAACAATAGATAACTATACAATCTTCTATTTTCATAACCACTCACTAGCGGAGTGGTTAGAATGTTGGCTTAAGTCATGAGTTCGAATTCAGGTCACCCCCCCCCCTTTTTTTTTTCTTTTTTAATAGAAGCATTTAAAAAGCAATCTCCTAGATGCACCCCCCCCCCCCCCCCCCCCAATTGGTCCAGGCAAGGATCATAGCTATTGAGAAAGCTAAAAGTATGAAATAGCACTAAGCAAAACAATTGGTATAAATATTATTATATATTTATAATCGCATAGATTTATTATTATTAGTCTATATCTATTACAAATTTAATTACATGACTGATCCAAACTAATTAATACAACTACGCTTAGTATAAGCTCTTCTACTTTTGCCTTTTCTTTCCTTTCTTCCATTCTAGTATCTCTCTCCTCATTCTGTCTTACGATTTTAGCAACCCACTTAATGACCAGTTTTGAGTAGTTTAAACGGATGATGTATAGTTAGTGATTTTTTTTCTCCAATGCTAGTTAAATCTGAATGTTGTAAAGAAATTGGTTGAAATTGTGAACAAGGAGAGTTAATTGGAATTGGGGAATGTAGATATGTTAACTTGTAATTTTTGTGTGATTCTGTCTTTTTTTCTTTTCTTTTTCCAATTTGGATTTGAGTTCCATGCTATTGAGTGTAGAGTGTATTTTTTTGTGTGCACTCGTTCTTTACCTGATACTGAATTCTAAGCTAGTAACTTTTTACGCTATTAATAAGTTATATTAATAGCTTATTTTGATAAGGGGGGAATGTGGTGATTATGTTTTGTATACAATATTGTAAACGGTACGTCATAGAACCTTGGTTGTAAGACTTAAAGAATTCTATGTTTATTTATTATTTTACTATTTATTTCATTGGTCCATTGGTGGGGACAGAGTTACAGCACTTGAGGTTTTGTTATTGTTGACGGGGGACCGGAGTTTTGTGATAGCATAGTAGGAGCCATTATAAGGCAGTTCTGATAGTTAATGTATATTTAGGAATTCAGCTTTTGTTGGCGTTATCTACAGTTATAATTTATTCCTATTTCTTTATTAAATATTTCTTATTTCTAATGCATCCCTGGTGTTCTTAAAGTATTGCATACGTAATGTATCCATGTCAAAGTCATAGGCTAGGAGTTCACAACAATCACAACACTGGACCACACAATGTGATTGGACCATACCACACTGAGCATGCTTAAAACATAGGAGGAAATAAAATGACTACAATCATTTCACTAGAATGGAAAGATACCTAGAGTAAAATAAAATAATTAACGTTGATGTAAAGATTATATCAAAGACTATCTATATTAATCAGTTATAAAGAAAATTTTGTAAAGGATTTGGTAAAATAACATTAATTATAATTTTCACAAATCATGTACAAATAATGGTAAAAGTTAAAGACTATAAAGGCTAAAATAATAGACTAATAAATAGTTTAAAATAATCAAAAAACACTTATATTACAACAAAATTAAACTCAAAAATTATTTTCTATTTTGAAGAGCGCTTTATTATAAGCATTTTTTTTTCTATTTATTTTTTAAGATTCTCAATTTTAAAAAAAATAAGCTCAAAGACCTCTATGAATGTTCATTTTAAAATATCAGATGCCACACAAAATACAATGCAAACTTTAGTGTGTTATTAATGCATTACTTTAATTATTTATGTATTTTCAACATTGTGAATGAGGTTTAAACTTGATTACATTTGTAACTAACGGTAGCCTGTAGTATGTATAGAAATCATATATAAATGCAATTATACAAGTAGATTATATTTCAATGCCTGGGTATATTGTATAAACAATAATATTTACATATTACAAACTTCAAATTTATATTGAATTATGCATAAATAATCAAAAGAGCTCTGTCTTTTTTAATTAACATTAAAAGGAGGCTAGGCCACCCATAATGACTCAATATGTAATCCACCGAGATTGAAAGTACTTTTTTTTGTTTTGTTCATTTTTTTCCAGCATGAATTGAACACCAATTTATTATTGTATGAGATTTTAGTTTACTCCTGCCAGAAAGCATGCTTAGAATGGCATTTCATTAATAAATCTTAAAATGTCCAGAGGCAAAAAAGGGAGAGCATGTGATTAAAGTAACAAAGTCTCAAATATTGGATACAGCAGAAAACCCCCCCCCCCCCCCCCCCCCCCCCCCCCATTTTTTAAATTTCTATGACACTTTTTAAAATGTAGAGATATAGACAAAAAATCATAGTGCTGAGTAGAGAGCTTAAGAACAAGTTTTGCTTGCAAATCAATTTTGTAATAGAAAAGAAAACTTTCCCTTTTTTTTTTATTACACTTGTACTATTCTAGTTTCTTTTCTGTAACAATAAAACAATTAGTAACTTTTCCATTACATTTATGTAAAAGAGCATATTAATGTTATAATTGAAAATAGAATATATGTTCCCCAAGCTATTTTGACTTTAAAAGAGAAAACCTGAAAATGATTTTTTTTAAACCAAAAAAAAAATATAAAAAATTAACAAATAAGAAAAAAACAAATTTAAAGATAAACCATATGCCTAGTTTTAAAAAGCCATCAGAAAAAAACCTCATCAACACTCAATTTCCATGTTTGGTCATATACAGTGCAGTACTGGTGCAATAATTTGAAACATAAAAAAAAAATACACCAAAAGATTTGGTTTTCACTAAAAATGATTAACTAATTTTCTCTTTTCATTTTGGAAAAGACATGAAGATCTTAAACAAAAGTTACCAAATAACATAAAAAAAAAAGTTTTTCTTTAAAGGCAATACCGCCTTTACAAAGCTGATGACTTTTTGTAAGAATGATTACTTTGCTCTTAATATGTCAACATGAAAAGACTGATTCTAGTTTGGTAATACACATATAGATCCAGACTTAGGAGACAAAAGTGTATGTCCTGAAAATCTTTTCATTTAATGAATTCTTTAATAAATACATGTGGGAATACCCGCTGATGTATGTGCAAGATATTGATTGTCTAGACCTCCAGACTAAAGTTAATTTTAAAGATTATGATTTTAAAAAACTATAACAGTTAAACCCTTTTTTAAGAAAAAGTGTAAAAACTTTAGGTAACTTCATATCATATTGTATCTACATGAACACTGCTTTCTTTTGCAATAGGAGTTTATGTGTTAAGTGATCTAAGTAACATTTATAATTGTTATATCTGTACATGCTGTCATTTGTAGTCCATGAGAAACATTTATATCCTCCAGACTTGGCTTGCATTTCAAATACCTTCACATGTGGATAGTCTTTTTCTATAGACTTTGGTATTGAGCTTCATCGTTTGTAATTATAAATACATTTCCTATTATAAATCTAGTGAAGTTGTTGAGATTCAGTAAAAATAATTTGCATTATTTTAATCTATTGTTTAGCCTCTAATTCTTCTTTAAATGCTGCAAGGTTCACCATACCATTTTGCTCTAGTTCATCTGGAAGACCTTGCTGAACACAAGATTCATTTTGATTAGAATTGTTTTCAGGCAAAGTAATGTCACCAGAAATAGATTGGATAGTGTTGTCTCTACTGTGACAGACTTCATTCAATTTGGCCACTTCTGCATCATTGTTGTTAAAATCATCATTATATTCTATTTTTTTAAAGTCACTGCTTAGGTAACTTTCAGCCCCAGCCAAAGATGAATGGCTGAAAGTGAGTCTATCATCTAAAGCTTGTGCAATATGATCTCCAATTTCTGGACTACCATCAGCACTAGGATAAAGAGAAAAACATTCAGCTTTTTCAGTGGATAAGACTCCTTGATATGTTGTTTCCATAGGAGCTTTACAAAGGTTGGAAGCTTCTTCAGATTCTTTGAAATACAAGTGTAATTTATAGTTTGGGGTTACTTTTGAAGATTTTGATTTTCCCTCTTTACTTTTAGAATAAGTACCTTTTGGAATTTCTGTTTCTTTCTGTTCATATTTGAATAGTTTGTTAGCCAAAATTTGCGATGCCAGCTTGTTGTGTGCTAGTACTTCATTTTTATCTAAGACCTAGTCAAGAAAATATAAACAAAGATCAGAGCAAAAGCTAGATGAGACATATATGAAATATAAGAGAATTAGGGCACTTTAGTCGCTCTGATAAAGTGTTGTTTTTTTTTTTTAAATCACATTTTTCTTTTTTTTTTTCTTAGAAAATAATTCAGTTACAGAAATATTTGTAGTGCTCAAATTTCATATTGAATTTAAAATGTTTAGAACAACTATTTTACAATTTTTATATGCATAGTACAGCTAAGTAGTCAATGATAAATGCATTTACCAAATTTGCCAAGTTGTGAAAGTCTTAAAACTCATGTATAATAAAGGTACAACAAGTCATCATGTTAGAAAAATTGGGTTGGAGTATAATGAAATAAGAAGTTAACTCTATCCTGAAAGCTAATCTTAAAAGATTGTGAAGAACCATAAAATAGAACAAAGATTTCAAATATTGTTTTAGATATCATTGAAGCTATCAGGCTTACTTCTACTTCCGTTAACAATATCACAGCTTCAGTTCACTTCTGCCAGCTAGCTTAGCAGGTGATGAGCTGAGGTACATTAAAGGGCATTCATGGTCTACTCAATGAAATTCAGGAATGTCCAAAATATGCTTCATTGCTTTTTTAGCAATGGTATCAAATCAAAATTTTAAAGCTAAATATTTTCTAGGTGCTTACCATTTCAGTTAGTAGTGTTACTAGTTCTTGAAGACTCATGGAAGTTAAGGTTTGGCCTTTATCAGCATCTATTGCTGTCTCAATTGGTTTAAGAGGTGAGTAATCATCTGGTCAAGAAATATTGGTTATAACATTAATATTGTAGATAAGTCAGAAACCTGTTCATTGGCATGTAAATATTTTATATATAAAAGTAATATTAATGTAAAATAATTCTCACCATCATTTAAAACTTGAATTAACCACTTTATAGCTGCTTTAGCTTTAGTAGAACGAGATGATATAGTAGCAATCTGTGAGAGTTTTAAACTCAAACTTCTAGTTTTAGAGAGCTGCTCTTCAAAGGCTGCACGATAGGCATCTACAGTCAAGTTTGCCTCTTCACGTCTTTTTAAACTACAGTCAAGCTGGAAGCATTTTAAAAAATTGATTTGCAAAAATGACTGATCCTAACATAATCATAATGTAATTAAACATAAAATAGTAATCAAAACAATATATGAAAAAATGAAAGGCTTAATAAAGGAAGTTAGCATAAATTAGGTAAAAAAGAAATGATTATATTTAGCAGTGTAGCATTCTAGAACTAAGAAATTTTATTGGATTAAAGGAAGAATGAGCAGAGATCCATCTAGCTCAACATTAAACACCAGAACATTTCAAGGTTAAAGATATAGAGAAGGTCAATATATTTTCATTTTGAAACTGAAAAAGGAGAGTGATTTTAAAGGAGAGTGATTTTAAAGGAGAATGATTTTAAAGGAGAGAAGCAGAAAAAAAAGGTTTATTGAAAAAACAACTAAATAATAAAGGCATTCCTTCATTTGTTTTACTATTATTTTGTTTCAAAAGTCAAAACATACATGTGAATATGATATATGGCTATGTTTCAGTTTTAAACTCAAGCATGTAGTTTTAGAAGTTTTTTTTATATTATACATACATTTTTACATAATATACAGTAATAGTCTAAAATCAGAATATAAATTTAAAGTATACAATTATTACTAGTGGACTAAATATGAATGATAACATCTCAATAGAAAACAAACACTTAGAAATATGGTATGCTCAAAACTGTTTTGATTTTCATTATAGATAAAACAGAGGAGAGCACTTTTCCTTAATCATTGGACTCAAAGACAAGCCTTATTATTAAAGATAAATTATAAATAAACGTTAAAATACAAGAAAAGTAATAATTTTTCCCCACTTTGAAAAAGGTGCTGGTACACCACGATATGTCACAAAAAAAGCACTGGATATAAACAAATCTTCTAAACATTTTAAACAACAAGTATACTAGAGTCTAGTGAACAGTGTAGAATATTTACCTCATCTTTTAATTTGGAAACTTCTTTTCTTAAGTTTGCTGCAGCGTGGGCACATCCACAAGGATCTGGGTTTGTGACTCTACATTTACATGCACCCAGTACAGCCAGCTAGAAATCAAATATGACATTGTATTATAAATAAATACAAGGGAAGCTGTAATGAGTAGTTAAACATGCATAACACTAAACATTTTAAGGGATAACTAAAGTAGATTGAGCATATTTTCAATGTAAAAATATATTAAATTCAGGAAAAAACAAAGTCCATGAGATGATCAATAGTCACTTCATGACTGAAGAAGGCCATATAGTTAATTCCATTTTTATCCCAACACTAGTTCAAAATACTCAAGGGATACTTAGGGGTATAAAAATTGAGAAACTATCAGCTAGTTGAATATGAAACCAGTTAAATGATGAGGAAAATAAATATGCACAATTATTGACAAAAAAAATTTTGACCTATAATATTGGGTTTAATTTTTTGTTACAGTCAACATGTGGAAAAAGTAACACTGTAAGGCAGAAGTATTGATAAGCTGTAGTTAGTTACACAAATATAAGTTAAGAGTCACAATTTAAGCAAATAGTAGACAATTTCCTAAAGAATAAGCTTACAGCCATTAAGGTTCAATAGCTTTGGGACAAGAAATCAAAAAAATTATTCAAGATAACAATTCAAATTAAAGAGCTCAAATACTAGACTAGACAAATACTATGTTTAGTATAAATAATTCTAAGCATTATTTTAGAAGTTCCCCTTATTCTCATTTAAAGTATATTTTCATGTTTCATTTGTGTATAGCAGAATCTGGTAAAACTGTCCTTGTTTATGTAGCCATGGATAGGTGATGTTGAGATGTAGCTTCAATTGTAGGCCAATACTTTAATAATGATCGCTCCTTCTTAGAGCTGTATATAAAATACTGAATACCTTTTAGCAAATATAACTTTAAATCAAATGTATATTATCTCCTTTAATATTTTTGAAAACAATTTTAAATATTATGCTTCAGAATATAAAAATATGACTTCACTATGTTATCATCCTTTACTGTCTCCCAAATCTCTTAAATGTCAAAAATTTTCCCATGTGTTTTCTGTTTTTAAAGGGATATATGATTATATCAATTT